CACTGCTCCCTGCAGAATGCTGGGGTAACAAGATCTAAACTCCGCTCCTGGGCTCCACACCGAAGAAGGTGCTAAGAAAACAGTGCTCCTTGTGAGGAGACAGACAGATGCCAGCGACTCTTTGGGGGGGGGGGGGACCAACAAATCCTCATGCCCCTCTGAATCTCAGCTCAACCTTGGCCCTGACCTCCCCAGCCCTGTTTGGGGATGCGTGGGGAAATGGTGAGGTTTGCATCGCTCTCATACCACTTCTCAAGTTCACGAGTGAGCTGGAAGAGAATCCCCCTCCTGTCTTCTCCAGAAAGCTTGCCCTTTTAGAGTCTGACAGGGACTCTTCCATCTCATCCTTCCTCTCCTGGCTCAGTACACACACTCGTGTTTATAGTTCAGGCTCCAGGAAGCCCACCTATTCGTGACTTGTGTGGGAGTTACATATACGTTCACCTTGTCATAATTCATCTAGCTGTGTGACGATGCATTGTGTATTTTTCTCTCTGAATGGTACACCTTAATCATAACTTTTAAAAAGTATAGTTGAGCCCCCAAACCGCATGCAAACAACCACTTTTATATTTTTTAATACTTCATCTTCAACTTAACCCATCCGATACTGATAATGGAATAATTAAGAGACAGATCTTAAAAAAGGTATTTTTATGCTGAAAAACCTTATATGAGCTAGCACATAAACAAGTTAGATCATCCAAGTTCCTTAAATGACTTAATCCTCTGCCTCTCACAATTCACATACCCCAAGAGCCAGCATTCCTAGCTACTTGCTGCTGTCTGAATACATGTTTGTTTTTTTTCACACCTGCATCTTCATCTAATTCATTCAACAAGTATGTCTTTCATTAAGAAACAAACTTGAACCAAAAGACCCAGTCTCTGCCTCCTGGGAAAAACAGATACTCAAATAACCATGCAAAGAGTGTGAAAGTACAGCTGTGATAACTGCTCAGAAGGAGAGTGTGTGATGAGTGAGCACTCATAAGAGAGAGGATCTGACTTAGAAAGTCAGGTTTGCCAAGGAAGTGACACAGGAATTGGGATTTAAAGGACTGAACAGAGGAAGAGGATGGGAACAGCTTTCCAGACAGAGGCGAATGGATGTGCAAAGGCCCTGAAGTAAGAGGAGGCTGGTGAAAAAGAGGAGCCAAAAGAAGGGCACATCCTTCTCTGCTTTCGAAGTGACCCCTCCTCTATCAAATCCTGCTCAAATGTCACTTCCTGTGTGTAGCTGTTCCCTCCTTTCCATTTGCACTGTAAATGGATATACCCCTCATACCATCATAGCATTCCTTTTATCCTTCTGTTAGCACTTAGTTCACTGAATTGCAATTATCTGTTTATACATCTGTCTCCCTCACTAGGCTGAGAATTCATGGAGGACGGGAGCAGTAAAGTATTATCTCTGTGTCTCTGCATACATGTATAAGCATATTTTAGATGCTCACTAAGTGTTTTACGAGTGAAATAGGACAACTTAACCATGCCATGCACACGCAGACATAAACATTTTAACTTGAAACTGTATTACCTACTTTGTGAGCTGTCTCAATTTATTTTTTGCAAAGACTCAGCTGGAAAGTAGCAACTTTTTAAAAAGCCTCTTTGCCCCCAACCTTAATGAATCATAAGGTGTTATTTACTTCAGCATCAGAAACAGCTGTCCTGACTTTGTTAACACAACGTAATTCATTTTATAAATATCACACAATTATCTAATTTCTAAGTCTCTGCATGCTTTGAAAGGTGTTATTTTGGAAACAAGTCCTGGCCCATCCTAGGGAAATTCCCAAACCAGCATTGTCATGGCTAAGTATATCCACAGAAGCCTTGCAAGGCCGGGGAGGAGGCATAAATCCCCTGCTGTGGACATTCAGAGTGCTGACAGCCGGGCAGGGGAGGGGTCTCCACACCCCCAGGTCTGGCTGCAGCGGCCTGGCCTGCTTGCACTCACAGGTAATAATTTCAGAGCCCAGCAAAGCCGACACTCAGCTTCCCTTCCCCAGAGCAGCACAGCGCCTCCGCGCAGCTGCCGGCCTGCCTGCCTTTGTAGGATTCGCCAGCAGAAGCGGGAAGGATTAGAAAACAGAGGCTGGCTTGTTTGCCGGCCCTTTTGCTGAGCCCTCCAAATGGGAGTAGCAGCCTCGGAGGTTTTCCTTACATAGTGTCAGCAACTCCAGGGCCCACTCTCCAGCCACCTCCAAACCCAATCCCACCCTCTCGGGGAGAGGAAAAACAATGAGATCAAGATTAGGGTATTCCTGTTGCAACCCAATCCGCAGGCTCTCTGGATATTCGATAGTGGGTTGTCAGAAAGGGCTCTCCCCGCCTGTCCCCCACCCAAGGTCTATCTGGGCCTGACATCTCTGCAGGATTAAGTGGGGAGAGCGGGGAGCAGTGGTGGGAGTGGTAATTTAAAACCGCGCTTCCCGCAGCCGTGTTTATGAATACAAGGAGCTGTGTGCTGGCCCTTCCCATACTCACGGGCACGCTCCTGGAGCCCGGGCACTGAGACCAGGTCCCTGAGAACCGCCCTCGCTCAGACCCAGGCCGCTGCACACCACTTCCTCCTCCGCTGTCCGCGCTGAAGGGCAGGATGTGGGCCTCCTGGGAAAAGAGCCCTTTGCCAGCGGGTCACGCGGCTGCCCTTTGATCTCTTCCCACCAGACTGGGTTTGCCTCCTGGGTTGGGTTTTTTTTTTTTGCATGCTTTAAAAAAAAACAAAAAAAAAAAACCTGGCATACATGGAAGTTAGTACTTATTACAGATTTCCTGCCTTTATCTCATTTAATTATAAAATCTCCTGGGAAGAAGGAAGAGAGTCTATGAAGGGCCAGGGCAAGGAGCAGAATCCATCCAAAACAGCAAAGGGGGGGGGGGGGGGGCACTGTGATGGCTGGGGCTACTGGGTGTGTTTCACAGTGTATCCCTCCCCCTGCTTCATGCTTAGGATGGAAGCTGTCTGTCTTACACAACCTGTCCTCGCCCATGTCTCGACCTCAGAGGCAGGGCCAGGCAGAGGGAAAAAAATTGTGCAGTTGGACTGTGATGGCCGGAGATGCCCCAAGATCCTTCAGCCCCAACGCCTGTCCTAGAAGCCTGTATCCGGGCTTTATACGTGTACTAGTTCCTGCTTATCTGCAGGACACATGTGCCAAGATGCCCAGTGGATGTCTGAATCTAAGGATAATGCAGAACCCTTATGTATGTTATGTTTTTTGGCTACACATATAAACCTACGATAAGTTTAATTTATAAATTAGGCGCAGAAAGAGGTTACTAATGATAAAGTAGAACAATTATAACTGTAATAAATATACTGTGATAAAGGTTAGGTGATGTGGTCTCTCAAAATGTTTTATTGTACTGTACTCACTTTATCACTTAAAGGAAGTGCCTTATGGCTTCTGTGTGGCATATCCAAATTGCCAGCACCTCTGCTCTTGTGCTTTGGGGGAATATTAAGTAAAATAAGGATTACTGAGACACAGCACTTCCGCACAGAGACAGTCCATCTGATAACCAAGACAGCTCCGAACTAACAGGTGGGGGAGCGTATACAGTGTGGAGACACCAGACAAAGGGGTGAGTCACATCTCAGGCAGGATGGAGTGGGATGCGGGAGATTTAATCCCACTACTCAGAACAGAGTGCAATAGAAACCTTATGAATTATTTCTAGAATTTTTCATTTAATGTTTTCAGACGGCAGTTGATGGAGGGAAACTGAAACCACGGAAAGCAAAACCGTGGATAAGGGGGGACCACTGTATGTATTCCCTTCTAAAGAAAAGAATATCCCTAGGGATGAGTCGGAATAAATTCTCCTGCCCCGGGAACCCTCTCAGAACGGCCCTGTCTCCATCCCCCTCCTCACCACATGCTTAGGGTCCAAGTGCATGCCTTATTGGGGCATCTCTTACTTTTTCAGGAGAGTATTTTACCTATCAGTCACTCCCAATAGAATGTAAGCCCCAAGAAGTCAGGAAATGTTTAGTGTAGAAGAGGAACTCATTAAATGTTGATGAAGTAAACTAAGAATTTTCGGTAGTATGGTTGTAAACATGAAATCTCCAAACAAAGGTTGCATTGGTTCACTTCAAATACCAGCGAGCCTGTACTTTAAATAAACCAACATTTATTCAGAAATTGTGTGCTAGGACGAGTCATAGGCAAATTTGGACCCATAAAAGCAACGCTGCTGGATTCTAAAACTTCTTTATTTTCCCCTTAATGGGATGTATTCTGTTGTGGTAGACATGTGAATCCTTTCAAAATGAAGCTGAAATGTCTACACACCCCTCCTGAGCGCCTGAGAAAATGCTGGGGAGCAGCTCCAGTGGTCCTCCTCCGAGGGTGCTCAGCAGTCCTGGTTGTATAACATTGTGTTTACACTCCTGACCTGGGGCCTAGCCCTCTGGATGAATGGTCTGGATTGAGGCTGAGGCCAGATTTCTGAAATGTTGACTTCAGCACTCCTGTGGGCCAGACCCATCAGCCCTAAAGCCCCGAAAACTACACAGGAAAACTGTAGGAAAGATTATAACTGTATCTCTGAGTGCTTATGCACTGCTGACATTTTGTCTAATCTCTCCTCACAGCTGAAATGTGAAGAAAGCAAGGATCTGAAGCTCCATAGGACCAATTGCTGAACAGAATAAAAATGCTTTAGCAATAAGGTTTCCCAGCTTTTAAAGTAAACAAGGCCACTGTGGATCCAACTCATGGAAACTAAAAGTCCCCCCCAAAAGATTAAAATTGTGGGGTATATAGTTATCAAATTCTGCTATCTCAAAAAAGTTACAAATTAACAAGGCTCATTTCTCACAAGCATACTGGGGCGGGGGGGAGAGGCATATAAACTACATTTCCTGGAAGAAGAAAAAAAGTACATTATGGTCACACACAACGTTAGGAGCTTGAGATTTTAAATTCTACAAGTATATCCTATAATCCAGGCATCAGCAAACTTTCTATTAAAAATACTAAATATGCCCTGGCCTGGTAGCTCAGGTGGTTAGAGTGTTGACCTGATAGGCCAAGGTGGTAGGTTTGATCCCTGGTCAGGGCACATACAAGAATCTACCAATGAAAACATAAAATAAGTGGAATAACAATTTGATCTCTCTCTCTCTCTCTCTCTCTCTCTCTCTGGTCATTGACTAAAATAAAATTTTTTTGAACACTAAATAAGTTTGGTTTTATGAGCCACACGGACCTTTACCCACCTTCACAATTATGCCTGTTTAGCCATAGATAATACGTAAAGAAGTGTCCCAATAAACTTTATTTACAAAATCAGGTCATATAATCAATGGTTGAGTTCATCAGCATTACCAATAATATTAAATGGTGAACAACAACAAACTTTAACAACCCTATCCCAAGCACAGTTTTGTTAGCACTGAATTTCAACTACACACAACTCAACTGCCCTGGGCTAGTGTCTCGGCAGAATATTAATGACAATGATCCTTTGTGTTTGAAGATCAAGCTTCAGAGCTGTTGAAATGTTCCCAGCAAAAATGGGAATCTATGCTTTCTCTTTAAAAAATGGTGAGTTTCCAGAAACTGCGTGCATATGTTGACATTTAAACAGCTGGCACATACAAACGCGGGATATACTCAGAAAAAGTATATTTTCACATGGAAATGCAATCAATGACTCGGATCTGAATATACCTATCTAGTCAGAACCACCATATTCAGTCACTTGCTAGAACACCAAACTAAGTAAGCCACGGGGATAAAAAGGACCTATGTCATACTTTAAACAATAAAAATCAAAAGAAAAGAGGGGGGGAATATTAGCTTTGAACAGGATCTTATGTGTCAACTGGGAGAAAAAATAACATTTAATTTATACAAAGAAACTGAGGTAGAGAGAACTTGTCACTTGCCCAAGATCACAAAGCCCAATTGTAGAGGAGGCATGACTACACGACAGTCAGCGATATGCTCTAAGAAGGGACAGTGTCAGCTACAGCCCAACACTGTATTCCCAGCCTTGAGAACGGATCCTGGCACACAGGAGGCAATTAAGAAATACTTGTTGAATAAACAACTACAGAATTAATGAATAAACAACAAATGAGCCCGACCAATATACTTTCCCATCAAAAGTTGTAGGCACTTACAAAAACCTTATTCAAAAAGAACGTTCTATGTGTAACTTTCTTCCCAATGTTGAATTGTTCATTTAGTCCTTCAGACACTACCATAAACTGCAGAACTAATGTGAGCAGCCTCAAGGAGTCGGAGCACCACTCAAGGCAGCTGATTCCATCCTAAGGAATGATTTATGCATGATGAGAATCTGTCTGGAACATCAATGATGTCTTTATCTTCAACTACTACTCACAGAGGACTCAGCCCAAGTGTACTCATACTGTTTGTCCGGGGTTTCCCAGGACTTGTAAAATGCAAGCCTGATTGCTTGGAGGGGTTATGGCTTATTTCACATTATCTACACCCACTCATCCATCACCGTGGGACTTTGTGGCATACAAAGCAAGCTCTTCAAAGCAGGGGTTAGGAGGCACTCTCTAACTATTCCTGACTGTTGCCATATTTCCCCTTCCTGACAACAGACAGGACAGGTGCTGCCCCGGGAGACCTTGCTGTATAGAGTGGCACTCCTACTCGACCACCATCAGATCTAAAGCACCTCGCCCAGCTCCATACTTGAAGGTCAAGTGGAAACAACCTGCATTCCTTCCACAGGTGTTGGCCTTTTAAAAGGAATGCAGACTTTGAGCTCCATTTATGTTTTCAAAATATTGCTTTTTCTTTGAACTTGGAATGTGTAACTTTATCCACAGACTGTGCAATTTTACATTCACCCAGACACTGTTTCTATGACATGACTCTTCAATAGCTCAACTATTTTTAAAAAATCTTTAGAAAAATCCCACAATAGAGAGCTAGAAAATAGACTTTCTTCTACATTTCCTTAGAAAATCCACATATAAACGTAAATGAATAAACACACACATGTGTGTATATACGTTTTAAGGGGGAAAGGGTGGACGGCAGCCTTAAATAAAAGGTCCAGAAATTCAACAGCACTTGGCCTTCCTTTCTAAGCCTTTAACAATGACTGCTCAGCAGTAGCCCATTAGCGAACCAGAAGTAATTAAGGGTAGGAAAAGTCCTGCTCCTTAACCACTTAGGCTTTTAAAGAAAAACACTACCAAATATGTGTGGCTAATTTTAAAAAAATTCTGCAAACTTTCCCAACTGTTGAAAAGGAACAACAAATAATATTATATAAATTTCAAAATAATTAAAAACATTTAAAATATATGAGCTCTGTAAATAAAATTTTTAGACAACACTTTTCAATTCGTTGTGCTTTATTGACATGATGCTCTCCTGGAAATACTATTAATAATGAACTTTTTAAAAATTTAATACTACAAGCAGCATACATATAGGTACTTTCATTTCATTTCACACACGCATAATTTTCCAGGGTGACACACATACACAGACAGACACACCTTTATAGAACTGAAATGCCAGATTCAAAATAAATTCATAACATTTACAGCATAAATGCAGACATCTGAGGGGGGTT